CCGCTCTTCATGACTACGTTGGACCACACATTGGCATTCAAAGCTTGTACTATTCGTTTCACTCCGGTAGACTCTGGAAAGTCATCTAAACCAAAAGACAAAGACATTGTACTCCTAACAATTAGACCAAAAACCATTACATGCCTGAAAATAAGATGATGTGTGTCTGAATGCCTGTCCTATCTTATTGCAATTGATGTAAATTACTACTGTTGTTAGGAAACGCAGATTTCTTGCCTTTGCTTTGTGAGAGGTCAAACAAATCTAAATTAATGCCTCACTTCTTGGTCTAGGCTTCTAGAATTATGAACTATGAGCACTCAGTCTTCTGACGGGAGATTTAAATTCTGAGTCAGGTTTTGTTAAGATATTTAGCATGAGTCCTACATTGTTAAATAACATAGAAGTAAATTTAATACTGATAGAAAAATTTTAAGTTGCTGTTAAAATCAAGGCATCTCTTACCCCAAGATCTTTTTAGAATGCTGTATGGCATAAAAACAGATGCTAGAATTACTTTTCCTTCCTTTAGAAAGTGAAGAACTTTGGACAACCATTTTAAAAAAAGTGCAACGTTTGTTAACACTGAAAATTATAATTGTAAAGCTATCTCCACAACATCCAATTCCAAATGTTCCAGTAATCCTGTGAATTACAGTAACCTGAAAGACCAAGGAAAGCACTATTTGGACTTATTTACTGAATAGATCTGACATCACTTTGTATAAAGTCAGTTTTCCCATTTCCTCAGTTTAGTCAGCTTCCCATGTTTGTGCAGGTCTCAAAGCAATAGGGGGAAAAAAACAAACCCACCTTTGGATACAAAAATGTGATTGCTTAGAAATCAAACTCATCTAGGATGACTCAGGGACAGGTGCTGTGATTGAAACTGCCTTTAAAAATTAATTCAAAGCTGTCTATGACCCCTTAGATCAAATATTTTTTTTTCCACCCCTCTATGACACTGCTGTTTGGTTTTCTATCAGAGTCATTATCAAGAGCCTCAGTTTAGAGTTCTTGTCCTTACTGCAAAATTCAACTGACTGCGTAGTCATAGCAAGACCTCTGGTTCGTTTGTGATGAGCTGCCAGAAAGGTCATAATTCTTAAACAATTATTGACCCGGTATGTTTACTGCATCCATTTTATCTTTTGTAATTCATACTGCATGTTTATGGGGTAAATATGTCACTCACTGGAACACATTTCCTCCTATGCGTGAGTCAGTGAATCAACTATTATATTAAAAATCCGGGAAAGAACATATATCTTAATACTCCAAAGATTAACATCCTGAGCTGGTATTATTCCCTGTTGTTATTATATTATTTAAATGGCAAATAGTTCGTTCTTTACAACAATTATCCAACAGAAAAATAACTTAATGTTACCAGTATTTCCTTTTAAAGCACTTCATAAGAAAGCTTTAGTCTAAGGGGTATCCACTTCTGATTTTTTTCTGGTTTCTATAAATCGGAAGTATGGGTATCCCTCCCTCCCTGACTAACAAAATGCCAAAAAGAAACACAACTTTAAAGACATGGCAGAAAGAGAACGGATGTTCTTACCTACTCAAGATACAATTTTTATCTAGGCCTTTAAAGGAGGGAAGGGGTGGGACTTGAGTTCTAGCTTAGGACTTTAGACTAAATTATTTTTGGTGACAGCTATATACTTGGTGAACTTGACATAGCACAAATGTTAGTGACTATTTCCACTCAAGCCTGGAAATGGAGTCAGTTATCTCATTTTGGTTCTATAGAGGTAAGATGTAAACACTTTTTGTATCACTGAAATGAGGAGATAAGGCTGATGCCGATAAGGCTGTCAGGAAGTGCATAGTCACTTTTCAAGAGTGGAACATCACACATCACATTTCTGACTTTGCTTGATGGGTTTTTTCAAGTTATTAAATGTATGGTCAGCCAGTGATTTTGAAACTGGTTTATTTCCTGTGTAACAGTGCATGCAATTCTAAAATGTTTTTAACAATCTCCCCTTTTCAGTCTATCATGTCACTGTTTGAAGAATGTCTATCTTCTCTTGGTATGTACAATAGTTTTAAAAGTCTTTTAAAAAGACAAAGAATTTTCCTGCCCTTGTGCATATCTGGTTCTTGGTTTTTAGATTTATTTCCAAAGTGGAATATAAATGCTTCTAATCTATCAATACAGTCCTAGGATTACTGCCAGAAAAAGGAGCAGATATTATTTTTATGTAGGTGCTACATAAACAGCAGCTGTATTTGGGAGGTGACAAATGGAATTTCTTGGAGGAAATAACCACCTCCTCCTCCTGACCTTTTACAGCTGAGACTAAGCCGCACCAACTGGGAGCATTCCATGCTGTAATCATGTAGCACATAAATAAAGTTATGCCTCTTGCAATTGTTTAGAAAATATTTTGCTGTGCTGCTTCATTCTAAAAATTAAAACAGAAGTAGCAGTCCTACCATCTTCATCCGGAAGTTCCTCAGGGCTAAGTTCTACCAGTTCAAAGCCATGCTTGATGCACCATTCTTGAGCTTTCTGTCTGTTAACACCTAAGTTGGGAAACAAAAATTTGTACTAAACATACACATTTGAATCGGCAGTTGAATCTTTAGCTACATTTTATTCCCTCAAAGTTGTTTGTTTATTCTGGATTGGGGGGGAAGCATATAGTAGCTGGCGTGGGTCCTCCATTAACTTTGAAATTGATTCCAAAAACTCCAGAGTTAAACCCCTCCTTTGAATTGTTTTGGTTTTTTTTTTTTCCAAATACCATAAAATCAAATGGCTTTGTAGTGGATACTCAAAGGGAAATGTAAGTGAAGTGTCACAGTGAATGAAAACTTCTATTAACTCTAGGTTTGAATCTGAATTAAGTTACAGGGGCATATCTGCACCTTACAGCTTACTGTTGCATTGCATATACTAATCTAGAACCAAAGCAAATGTTGTCCAAATGGTCGAAAAAAAGAATGTAATTTCCATTGTAGTTAAGCAGCCAACAGTCATCCTCATTCTTCACCTGTGTGGATCATGCACATCCAGTAATATAAATGCCTTTTATATCATAAAATATAAAACCAAGGCATTTATAGGATGGTATACTAGGAATGGGATACACAGAGCTCATTTTAAGCAAGCTTGTAAAATTCTGATTCAGTTGTAACCATAACTAGCTTAAGACTTTTCTTCCTGGTCACAAGAGCAACCTAGCTGTTCTCAGTCAAGTCTCAAGCCCAGTCTCACACAGATATTTTAAGAAAAAATTGTGTTCATTTAACTACAACATAAATTATGCAAGGTTAGTAACTCTAAATCAGCTTGGAACTTCTTTGGGTTTCATACCATTTTCAGATACTCTGTTACAAACCAGGATCATGACTTCTGGTAACCATTCTTCTGTGAGAGGAAGCCATTCAGAGACACTATCAAGTCCAGATTTCTAAAAAGGAAAAAAAAAAAAGTTCTTGGGAATACATCCTCAAATACTTTAGTTTTTAAACTAGTTTTAAATCATTAATAGTATTAGAATAAAAGCAGTAAGGCTAAGCTGCATATCAAGTATGTTTAAGACACTTGTGTTCTCATCAGAGAAGTTGACTTACAACTTCCTTCTGATTCTGGACGATGAGTTAATTGTACTGCCTTGGACCTCCCTTTCATGTTTAATAATTACGCAATCCTAGTGTAGATTAGGAAAGATTTTTACTTAAGGCCAATCATGAGTATTTCATTTTAAACGTATCTCAGGTTTAACATGCAGCTACTCCGTCTTCCACACTATAGCGGGTGTTATGGGGGCTGGTGAACTACTCCCTGTGTTCTAGTTTATTCTGATACAGCCCTGAGATGTCTGATTAAAGGTATGTTTGCAGAATGTGTGGTATGCACCCTTTACCATCCGTGGTGAAAAACAGTTCCTTATTTAGAGGTTTTTTTGTCTTGGAATCTTTCAGTGTTTTCACTGCTGCCAGCTTAGTAGAAATAATTTCGGGTAAAATGATAGCACTGAATCTCACGTTTCGCTCCCTCATTCTTGGCTATCCTAAAGCAGCCTTCCTGAACCAGCATCTGCTAGGAGTAAAGTTGGAGGTGGTGGGCTGGAGGAGGATTTGCCTAACTTAGTGGCATATCTGCATCCTGAAAACCTCTCTTCCAGCTAGAGTATGATAGTAAAAGGGAAGGAAATTGCTTCTGTTGATAGCAGGCATTACTTAACATTGATCTACTGACAATTAATAGAACAGCCTAAAAGGAATGGATAGCACAAGATGAAGAGAACATAATTTGTGGTTATCACTGTGATAAGTATAATATAATGTAATATAATGAAGCAGAAGAGTCTTACTATTGTGCTGTCGAAGTACACAACAAATGCTTGCACAGATTCAGCAATATCTCCAGTAACAAGAAATGTGTTTGGTACTACACAGAGGTGAATATCTGCAGAATAATATTTATTATCTATTGTCCAGGGGTAAAAATTCACTTTTCCACTCGTAGTTGCACCCACAGTAAGGTCATCCTTTCCTGTGATACCTGTATAAAAGAAAATTAATGAGACAGAAAGCATCAAGAAAATGATTTGTCTAGACAAGCCTGGAACAATGCCAATACAGAGCCATCTTTACTTACTATAATAAAACAGTATATATTTAAGATCTTTAAATATTCAGACTCAATTTGTTACTCTGTCCTAAAGTTTATTTAGCTTTCAAAAGAGTTTATTGTCCGGCTTTCAAAATAAAATATGGTATAGAAGCTCCTCAGAAAGCAAGCTGCTTTTCCTGGAAATGGCTTTTAAAATGTTAGCCTCAAACTTACGACCTGTAAACAGGATGTATGGAGAGAATACCTAGACTTTATTACAGCAGAAGCAAACCTTGCATGTTTGTTCAAATGTAAAGAGCTGTTTGACTGTGACCAAAACCTGAAGGTAACTAATGAGAAAACAAACCAAGTTACTACAATTCAGTTGTAATTCCCATTAAATTCCATGTAGGAGTTCAACAATTAAAATCCAAGGCAATGGTTTGATAATGTAATGTTAAACACTGCCCTTCATGTGCTGGTAGCAACCTTCACAGCGCACGCTCTTATAGCATGACAGCCACCTGGTGGAGCTGAATTATAGTTAGTAACAGAGCATCCCATCTATACCTTGCTGGTAGAATATCTTCTTCAAGCTGGACAGACTTACTGACACTTTAAAACACAGGTCAATCATGCTAGAAGACTCAATTTTATATATTTCCTTGGGCATCAGAAGAGTTTAAAAAAAAAGTATATGGGTTTTCAAAGATCTTAAAGGTCATATTTTAAAGGTACTGAGGGACAGTTCCTGGAGATGCTAGAACAGGCTGTTCCCCAAATAGTCTGGACGTGAATTTGAAATTATCTGTATCTTATCAATAACTGGGGAAGATTATGGAGAAGCTCATCTTGAGGACACTCACAGGGCATGTGAAGGACAACCAAGGGATCAGGCCCAGCTAGCATGGGTTCATGAAAGGCAGGTCCTGCTTGACCAACCTGATCTCCTATGACCAGATGACTTGCCTAGTGAATGAGGGAAAGGCTGTGGATGTTGCCTACCTGGACTTTAGTAAAGCCTTTGACACTGTCTCTCACAGCATTCTCCTGGAGAAACTGGTGGCTCCTGGCTTAGACAGGTGTACTCTTTGCTGGGTAAAGAACTGGCTGGACAGCCGAGCCCAGAGAGTTGTGGTGAACAGAGTTAAATTCAGTTGGTGGCCGGTCACAAGCCGTGTTCCCCAGGGCTTGGTTTTGGGGATGGTCTTGTTTCATGTCTTCATTGATGATCTAGATGAGGGGATCGAGTGCTCCCTCAGTAAGTTTGCAGACAACACCAAGCTGGGTGGGAGTGGTGACCTGCAGGGTAGGAGGGGTTCTGCAGAGGGATCTGGACAGGCTGGATCAATGGGCAGAGGTCAACTGTATGAGGTTTAATAAGGCCAAGTGCTGGGTCCTGCACTTAGGTCACAACAACCCCATGCAGTGCTACAGGCTTTGAGGGGAGTGGCTGGAAAGCTGCCTGGTGGAAAAGGACCTGGGGGTGCTGGATGACAGCCGGCTGAACATGAGCCAGCAGTGTGCCCAGGTGGCCAAGAAGGCCAACAGTATCCTGGCCTGTATCAGAAATAGTGTGGCCAGCAGGAGTAGGGAAGTGGTTGTGCCCCTGTACTCGGCACTGGTGAATACTGTGTTCAGTTTTGGGCCCCTCACTACAAGAAGGACGCTGAGGTGCTGGAGCGTGTCCAGAGAAGGGCAACAGAGCTGTGAGGGGTCTGGAGCACAAGTCTGATGACGGAGCAGCTGAGGGAACTGAGGTTTAGTCTGGTGAAGAGGAAGCTGAGGGGAGCCCTCATCGCTCTCTACAACTACCTGAAAGGGGGTTGTGGTGAGGTGGGTGTTGGTCTCTTCTCCCAAGAAACCAGCAATAGGACAAGAGGAAATGGCCTCAAGTTGCACCAGGGGGTGTTGAAACTGGATATTAGGAAAAAATTATTTACCGAGAAAGTGGTCAAACATTGGAACAGGCTGCCCAGGGAGGTGGTGGAGTCACCATCACTGGAGGTGTTCAAAAAACGTGTAGATATGGCATTTTAGGACATGGTTCACAGGGCATGGTGGTGTTGGGTTGATGGTTGGACCTGATGATCTTAAAGGTCTTTTCCAACCTTAATGATTCTGTGATAATAAAAAGGCAGGAAAACCCTATTGCCAAGGTGTCCACAGAAACGTTTAATGACTTTTGCAATTATCTGCAAAGTCTGAGAAATCAAACTGATGAATGAGCACGGTGCACAGGCAGCACAGAGGAGAGCTCTAACCTGAAAGATTATTTGCAGCAGTGAGGAGGAGGACAAGGGGAATCTGAGAGAGAAATTTGACCTTGGAAACAGAAACATGGGAGGGAATGTCCTGTCTGGTTTCCTTAAAAAAAAAAAAAAAAAAAAGCGCTGGGGGGGGCGGAAAGCCACATCTATGTGTTTTTTCCAGGTTAAGAAAGTTTGACTTTTTGATTTCGATGACAATAGTTTTCAGATTAATTGGTCTTCAGTCAGAAGCTATTCTGTGATAATGTGACTATCCATGTCACCTTGGGGCTGTGGGGTGATGGTACTGAATCAATACCAAACAAACCTTGATTCTGAACTTTGTATTCTTGGAGAACTAGGTTCTTCATATAAATATGGAAGACTACCACTACAGCTAACCAAAATCAGTAATCTTGAAAGATTTTCATTCTTTTGCAGCTTTTTAATCACTCTTATGCAGAACACACTAGTTCCAGTGGCACATAGAAGCTGTTTTACCATGTTTATCTTGTAAAAACTTCCACATGTGGGTCTCTGCTTGCCTTGCAACACTTCATAGTAATACTGCAGTCACTTTTCAGCAGGCATCTCCACCCTGTTTGCATTAGCTGATATTATGCTCTATTGACATGAAGCAAACACCCATGCACCCACCTTCCAGGAAAACATGAGATCACCTTTTCAGTTAGTTTTAAACCCAAGCTTTTCAATTTATGCTACACAAATATATCAAGCCTACTCTTCCTCAAAAAAACCCCAAACCCAAGTAATTAGTAAAACAGATCATCAAATGACAGTATGTCACTCTACAAAACCTATAGCTTTAATGTACATATTCTATTATAATAAAGGCATTTTGGTAGATGACAATTTTTTTCTGCTATAAAACAGGAGCTTTAAGAATGACTAGCTAAGTGCTATATGTGGTATAATTTAGTTTGGTATCTTTGGCAAAGAGGACAGGCTGAGAGAGTTGGGGTTGTTCAGCTTGGAGAAGAAACAGCTCTGGGGAGACCTTATTGCAGCCTGCCAGTACCTGATGGGGGCCTACGAGAAAGCTGGAGAGGGTTTTTTTAGAAGGGCAGGTAGCAACAGGACTTTAAACTAAAATAGATTAGAGTCAGACTAGATATAAGGAAGAAATTCTTCACTGTGAGGGTGGTGAGGCACTGGAACAGGTTGAGCATAGAGGTGGTAGATGCCCCATCCCTGGAAGTGTTCAAGGCCAGGCTGGATGGGGCTTTGAGCAACCCGGTCTAGTGAAAGGTGTCCCTGCCCATGGCAGGGGGATTGGAACTAGATGATCTTTAAGGTTCCTTCCAACCCAAACTTTTCTAGGATTCTATGATATTTAATATTAGTTCCAATTGCTACTAGATTAGGAGTTTCTCCTAAATGGATATTAGGGCCAATGGAGGTAGCTTTCACTCTGCCTGGATATAATGTGACAAAAGTCCAGCAACTGGGAGAGGAAACAGGTTAGGCAGACAACATCAGTGTGCATGTCCAAAACAGACGGATGCCTTTTCTTTCCAGAATTATCTGTTGCCTAGTTTTTCAAACACAGGCATAATCTTCATTTTCTGCCTGGGAAACCAGATGTTTTGTTTGGAGGTTTTGAATGCTACATAAAATATGCTATAAATTTCCCTTCACTAGTGTTTTGATGGTTAAAAATAACTAAATAAAAATCAGTTCTAAGCTACCAGAATTGCAAGTCAATGCCACAAGAAGCTAAGAATAAGGAGCTCACAGAAATTATTCACACCCAGAAAATCAGCAATAAGACTTACAAAGTCAAAGAGATGAAAACAGGGTGAGGAAAGGAAGTAAGTTCAAAAGTCACTTCAGTGAAGTTAGCCACCCTAGCAAGAATACAAAAAGAAGGAACTTCTTATAAAAGATTTTTCAAAAGCTGATATGAAAGAACTTTCACATTTGCTTTGTAAGTGGTTTTTTTTTTTTTTCTTACAAAAGAGTTCATGGACAAATCTAGGCCTCAAAGTACTGCTAGAAGAATGAGGATATGTCCCATTTCCTATTACATGCTACTTGTTCCTGCATTTTAAGCAGTCCTCTTTCATCTCATTGTGCTGTTGATTACCCACCATTCCTCCAAAGAGATTTTTGCCAGTCCCCTGTGACATTTCTCTCCCAGTAAAAATGGATGTTGCACACTAAACTCAAAGGCCTGCAGGAACTTTCTGAAAAGATTCAGACTTGCTATGTCTCAGCCTGCATGTAGAGTTGTAACAAATTACTGCAAAACAGCCTGATTACTCATGGCAGGAACTAAATGCAGCTTGGGTATTTTGTGAATAGCTCTCTTCCACAAAAGTCACTTAGACCAATTAGGTTTTGGTCTTTAGAGTAAACAAGCAGAGACTACAAAAGAAATACACACTGCAACTTGTCAAGGGTATATTCCATGTTAGAACTAGTTTTAAGGATTACATTTGCCACCTCTGGATTCCAGGAATTTCTTTCCAAGACTGCATTACTGTATTGTAATGAAAAAAGTAAATTTGGCCAGAATAGTTTCATATCTAATTTTAGAGAATATTCATCAGAGTAAACCCTATTACGATTTATTTGGATCCAAAATAAACTTCTAGAAAATCAATATGGCAAAAGGAGGTGGCTTGTCAAACTTATCTCTAGTGAGTTACTCATTTTTAATTTTAAACTCCCCAG